AAATCACGCAACAAATGGACAATACGTTGCCGAACAAGTCTATTTCATGCGAGCCTAAATCGATCAACTCCTCCCATTTCGGTTCTAAGAGTTGATTAATTATCCTAGCCGATCATCAATCTACTAGTTCGTTGGATTTAAACACATCACACAAGAATGAATCATATTCAATTGGTAATCAATTGCAAATCGAAGTGTAACTTTTCGGCAATAATCAACATTCAATGCACGAGAATTATAAACCCTAGTTAAGCACAACTCGCATAAATTGAACGATCAACAAACATGAAAATCATAATTAAATTTTAAACATCATCATCATCACATATCCCTAGCGAAACGAATTAGCTACTCATATGGAATTCAAAATCAAAAATCTCAAAAATCAAAGCCATCATATTCATGGATTAGATGAAAAGAGAAACCTACAATTAATAGAAATCTGATATTTGAATCCAATGAAAAAGCTAAATCCGAAAAAGTAAATAGATAATTGAGCAAAAAAGAATGATCTAAATCCGAGTTTGAGAGAATGAGAAAGTGAAACAACAATATTGGGGATTGTACCTTAGGTCTGGGGGGTCGTTGTGATATATAGAGCTCGCAAAACGGAGCTAAAACGAGCAAAATAGAAATAGGGCTGACTCAGTCGCGACTCGCGAGTCGCCCGGCCGCTGGACAGGGCGCTGCGCGCGCTGGGACAGGTCGCGAGAATGGATTCGCGTGCGCGAGCTTACTTGCGAGTTGGGTTGTTTGCCTCTGTTAAGCTCGTGAGGCGCGAGTTTTTGGTCACGAGTCGCGCGATGCTGGGGGCTGGCGTGGGGCGCGGTCGCGGGTCGCGACCCGGGCTGCACTGCGCGACTTCACGTTTAGGGCTCGTGCGAACTCGGGATTGAGTTCAATTTTTTTCTATGCGTTGCTAACGAACCCCCTATCCAATTATGCTCTCAAAACTAATTTTTTCTGAAGAGAAAATTCACCCGAACCTCCCGACTTAGACACAAAAAACGACTAACCACAAATAAAACTGGAAAAACAAACGAAAAACACCAAAAGACTCAAAATGAACGAAAACACATAATGAAACACGAAACGGACTCAAAACGAAAGAAACGATCTAAAACGGGGGAAAAATAAATGCAAAACGAGCACGAAAAATGTAACAAAAATTGGACAAACACACCCCTTCGCCTTCTCAACTTGCAATCCTAACCATTTATTCCATTTTCATCGGACGGTGCAAATTAATCGAGCTCTCCATATTTCTTTCACCCTGCCTATAAATAAGTTCTTAACCCTTCTTCTATCTTTTTTCACCCTCTACAAAAGCTTTCTTGATATATACTGCTCCTCGCGTCTTCTCTGCACATTGCCAAGCTCACTGTTGTTATTACACCGTCGACCATTGTGGTTCCTCCAACAGCCAGACACCATGTCGATGAGTAAGGTTTATTATTATTGTTTTTATCAATATCTTGCATGCCTGATTTACACTTCAAATTCATCCTTCACGTTGTTGTTCCTCAATTCCCTTTCTTCAAATTCACCTTCCCCAAACATATATTTTTCTTTTTTTTGTTTCATTTTTTAGCTTCACGTGCGACTAACAGCTCTGATGATGCCTCTGCCAGTGGAAACATGACCATCCATTATTCTTCTCCGACCTCCTTATCTCTTTATTTTTTTCTCTTCTTCTTCTCTTGGACTGATCTTCAGTCTGTCCATCTATCATCCCGACCTCTCCACTTGGTCGATGAGCTCGAGGAGGATGTCAAGTATCCTTCCCGACCTAAAGCTAGACCCAACTCGATCCTTGTTTCATAACTCATTCTCGATGCCACCCCCAGTACTTCCCAAGGCATGGTCTCCATAGCTCGCAA